CCTTTGAACGCATATGGTAGACAGCAAATAGGACACGGCCATAAGAAGCAGTGATACCAAGGAAAGGAAGAAGGAGAAAGAGGGTTGTGCTCACAAAAACCATGCACTCATAGACCCAGGTGTCCATACAGGCAAGAGGCAACATGGCTGGGACATCACAGAAGAAATGATCAGTGGCCCTAGACCTACAGTAAGGAATACGGAGGGCATAGACTGTGTGGGCCAAGGAGTTGATGGACCCCAATGTCCAAGATCCTGTGATCATCTTCATACACATCCTGTTACCCATGCGGAGGGGATAATGGAGGGGATGGCAGATGGCTACGTACCGGTCATAGGCCATGGAGGCCAGGAGTAAGCCTTCAGAACATGCCATGGTCAGAAAGAAAAAGCTTTGCACACCACATCCCAGGAAGGAGATGCCTTTCTGGCCAGAGAGGAAGTTGAAAGCCATCTTGGGGACGGTGGTGGAGATGTACATCAGGTCCATGAGGGAGAGCTGGCTGAGCAGAAAGTACATCGGTGTGTGGAGACAGGCATCCACGCGTATGAGGTGTATCATGGCTGAGTTACCCACCGAGGCCAGGAAGAATACAAGGATGATAAGGAGCAAGAGAAGAAGGCCAGTTTTATTTGGGGGAAACAACCCCAACAAAATGAAATCGTTTGAAGCGTGATTCCATTTCTCCATGAAACCTTACTGCTTGAACTTCCTTGGAAGAAAAATAAACACAAAAACAAAGCACAACTCATGAAATGAAACAGAATAGGAGGATCAAAAGGAACTGACTTTGTTATAGGATAAACTGCTTTTCCTCCAACATTGCAGCTTTTGTTGAGTCGATTTAAATATCTGAATTAAACCTTCCCTTTCTGAGTATGTCTGACAAGCATCTAAGCAAGTCATAGGCATAAGTGTGGTCTCTCAGTATAAAGTTTAGCACCACAGGCAGCAAAGACAGACAAGATAGCTAAAGCATTCCTGCCTAGATATCTCCGGACCAGACACACAAATGGTGAGTTATCAACAAGGCACAGGAACTGAGGATGGCAGGAATCCCTGCATTCTCTGACGTCTCGGTTGAATGGGGCATTTTTACACCAGAAACTGACATGTGTGACCCAGAAACTTTCTGTATCTTACATTATAAGTCCTTAGACACCTATCCCTTTTCCACAGCTTTAATTTCTGGTGTTTCCTCCCCAGCTGGTTCCAGCCAGATCAACCTTAACCTTCATCCTCTGCTTGAAACTCTGCCTCTCATGTTCTTTAAAGACACTTTTGTGCTTTTCCTGAAAATGTGCCCACTACCCAAAATCATTGTCCTTGAACTGTAAAATCTTGTATGTCCTATAAGATCCACCCTAAATACAAAATGTTATTTCAGTGTTCTCTCTTCCATAATAATGTTTCCATTTTCTGAAGCCCTATAGAACTCAAAATTAAATGCATA